TGATTTCAGTTTCTGCTTGAACCCTAAGGAAAGGGCACATTTTCTGTATGTTTGGAAAATGGTTTGGTCCATAGATGTCTTATTCTCTTAACAACATCGAAATACAAAGGTATTCAGAGAAGAGTGGAACACCTTCCAAAGAGATCTTTCTAGGTGTTATTCAAAGCTCGTTTCACCATTGCTCCGAGAGCATCCCATTTGTATGATAGTTTTTTTGCCTCAGCCATAAAGAACACCATGAATTTATTAGAGGCAAATTAATCCTAGGCAGCCATAGAAATCTATAGAACTTAAGAGAAAATTAAACTATGCTGGGAGGGTTTATGTTTCTGAGTATCCACAGCAATTGGAAAAAAGATCAAGGGAACCTCATCCTTGTTTGCCTTTTTTTATTAGAAACCTCCCTGCTTGGCTTCCAGAGCTCTCTGGCCCTATTACCATTTCAGCTGAGACAGCAGGAGGGAGGGATAAGAAAAAGTGTTGGTGGAAATTTTCAGATCACAAGCTAATTTCTCCCCAACTACAAGCACTGAGTTTCCAGCTGGAGATTCAGGCTTGTTTCAGCACACATGGCTTAGTTCAGAAATTGGCTTTAAAGAAACATCCAGGAGGGTGAGGAATTGGGGCACTACGAATTTGGCATTGCAGAGCTGCAAGGAGTCACCCATCATGGGAAGGGATCTTCCAGCCATTTCAGGGGCCAGTCCTTCAAGCAAGACCCCACTATTAAAAATATTGCATTGTACACCTAAGATAATCAAAACATGGAACAGATGTTCATCCTGTCCGCTGCTCATTTTATTGCTTTTTAGTTTATGTCATGCCCAAATGAGCTTTTTATTAGAGAGTACTTAATCGTGTTTGGATTCAAGTGTCCTCTGTCTCTGTTCCCTATTTTCTTTGAACGTCTGTTTTTAGAAAATAATCTTTCCCTGAGACACATGGAAAGGGAGTGATTTGCAAAGCCACAGCTAGTGTAATTAAGATCCAAGAGCAGCTGTCCAAAAAGAAGCAAGAGGGAAATATACAGTCAATTGTTAAACATAAATTACTCCAAAATTAAGTCGAATTGCCTCATAACAAAACTAGATCTTTCCCTTGTCCATTACTCAGGCAAAAATAATGCTGAGGGAGTTTACACATGGCATATTCTTCTCCTAAGAAGTTTATAACTTTGTGAAAGATAGTATCACAGCAAAAAAAAAAAAGGGTTTTTTGGGCTTAGATTCAAGTGCTGGTCTCAGCGAAGCGATGCATTCAGGGTACGGGCGTATGAGGTGCCTGAGCCAGGCGATGTCTCACTGCTGGGAAGGGTGTAGTTCTGCTTCCTTCCACACTGCCCCAACCTCTCCCTGTCCCACTCCTGGTTTGATGCAAAAAGTAATGGTTCACCTCTGTCCCTTCATTCGGACACATGATCAGTAAATAGAAGGCCATCAGGCTGGACATTTTTTAGTAGCCCAACTGGCCAGACCATCAGAGCTGGTGCAAAGCCTTCAGAGTTGGAAGGGCTGCACAGAGGTACATTGGTTCTGGACCGCAGAGGTCAAAGAGCCAGGTGAGCTACAGAAAAATAACAGAAAGTTAACGTGAACCTTCCTAGAGTTTGCCAAAGGAGTCACCTCTGCTCACAGTGTAATGCCAGACAGTGTAGTTTTATGTTTTGGGAAATAACCCCTTCTTATGCCCTAAGACATAAAACCACCCCTGATAAGGAGAAAGGGGCTGCTTGTGGTTATGAATTGTTTTCCACTGTGGATCTCCATGGGCCTTCTTCTGCCCACTCTGCCACTGGCCACAGGCAAGGGACTAAGCAGCTGCAGGTGTTACCAGTCAGCATCTTCTGCACTCCCAGTATGATGGAGAAGACATCAAACTATGAGAATATTCCTTCCCAGCATCAGAGCCTTGACTCATAATACCTATTTTTTTTAATGGTGTGGAGAAGAGATGAAACTTTAGAATTGCTGCTAGAAGAACAGCTAAAAGAACTGATATGCTTGATAGTCCTTTCTGGTTCAAAAAAAAAGTAAAAAAAATATGTAGTTGCAAATAGGATTGATTACAGATCTTCATCTTGTCCATCCACTAGACCTGAGAAACAGCAGAGGAATCCTATAGCCAAGGGTTGAACAAGAAAGACAACAGACTGAGTTTCTGTTTGGTTTTCTTCAGATTTTGAACAAGGGCAACAGACATCACTCGTTTTGAGGTTAAATTGCCTTGGCTCAAAAATTGTTTTTGGAGGACAGGCTCCTGAGAAGATGTGAATATAAACCAGACCACCATAGTGCTCTGCCAGGGTCTCCTCTGGGAGATAATAAAAGCTTTCAAATTTACTTCAATAGAGTAGGGGCTGTAGCAGAAATTGTGTCCTACTGTTGACCGATTCAGCTTATATAAGCTATGTTTAATTTTATAACACTGTCTTTGTCTCGCTTTCTGGCTTCACTTTATTTGAGTGGGACAATCACAGCTGTAAAGTTACTGTCATCAGCGCAGTTTATTAGCCCTTAATGTGTTAGAGAGGAGTGACACCAGTGTACCTCATGGCAGGACAGCCACGCTGGAGAAACAAGTGGTTTATAGACACTGGCATCTTCCACAGAGCAATCCCTTGGCTTGGATCTTCTGTGGGTGTCCATGCAAAGCAGTGGTGGCATCTTTTGGATGTTGATGTCCAAGAAGAAAAAGCATTATTTCTATTACAATTCAAAAATACTTTTTGAATATAAGTCTGTTCTAACTTCACCAGTTGTGTTAAATTACTCACTTAAATGTTCTTTGTTTTTCACTAAGGTACTAGTAGCCCTTGCTCCTGCTTGTGGAATTTAGCTGAAAAAATGTATCTTAACATTATTTAAAAAGCTCCACAGTGGGAAAGTGCATCCACTTGAATTGCATGCTGACACATAGTTCCCAGAAGACCATGTGTTTTGGGGTGGAAAAATCCTCTGGAGGTTACCAAGTCCAACATCCTTCCTCTTCAGAGCAGGGCTGTTGGTCAGCACTGGTTCAGATCAACCAGCTACACCATTTATAGTTATTTTGCACATAGACCATTATTTGACATCCCAGGGATGTAGAACAGTGGACTTTTCATTGATTTCACTTTTGGCGAAAAAACTTTCTGGTGAAAAACCAGACTGTCTGGTCTGGGGGCAAATATAATATGTGTGAAAGGGATATATTGTGGAAGTTGTATGTTGATTCTCTGAAGATACCTATGGTCATATCATATTAGTGGAGAAACTCAGGGCACTAATGAAGACTGTGTGAATGTCACCCCTAAAGTGAGCTGTGAGCTGAAGGCAGTGAGTGGAGAAATGGTGACTCCACAGCAGCTCACATGGACTCTAAAGAGCAATGAATATTAGCGCTTATATTATGTAGGGATTTCAGAGAGACCTCAAAAAAGAGGGCTGGAAAGGGGCTCAAAGATAAAGTATTTCTATAAATCTCTCTTCCCGATTGCTGCATGGTGAGCTTTAGCTCTTAACTCAATGTGCTCTGAACTGCACTTCAGGAAAACACCTCACAGCTTGAACAAGGCAGATGCAAGTAACCCCCCCAGTGCATCCCCCTCTCTCCAGGAAGGATCATGTAGTGCCCTTGAGAGATGAAGGCACAAGCTATCTGTGTGGTCTTTGAGTGTAAGCCTGCTTACAGCTCAGAGGACGCTGCCCCTCCACACATCACCAGCTGAGTAGAAAGCCTCTACTGTCAAGTCCTGAGATGTAAACAAATGGCACATCACCAACCCAACACAGGCACCAGGAAAACAGAATCACAGAATTTGAGTTGGAAGAGGACTTAAAGATCATCTAGTTGCAACCGTCCTGCCATGGATAGGGACACTTTCCACTAGACCAAGGTGCTCAAAGCCCCATCCAAACCTGCCTTGAGCACCTCCAGGGATGAGGAGTCCACGACCTCCCTTGGTGACAACACTGCTTTTATCTTGAGGGGTTGTTCTTCTTAAGCTAATTATTTGCCATCAATAAAATGAGCTAAAAAATTAGTATCCTAATCCTCTATTGGTCCATAAAATTTAATTCAAGGCTTAGCAGAGCAGAGACAAAAGCTAATGGTGCTATCTCTCTCTTGCCATTGAAAAAGTGCAAAACACAGTTTGAAAACTTAGAGGCCAAACTTTTGCCAACAAGACAAAAACCTTACAGAAACAGAAAGAGTTAGCCTTAGGAACAACCTACAGGTCTCTGTCGTTTCTGATGGCAGGAGGCAGAAGCCTCAGTGTGAAATTCCCTCCCTTCCTGCCGTGGACTTGGAGCCTGCACGCCCCTAGTAAGGCACCCCTTGTGCTCATCGTTAGGGCTGGGGTACTTAACTACTTGAGGCTGCTGCTTGGCCCACAGCAGTGAGCTGTCATGGAGCTCAGCAGGCACCACAGACCCTGTTCTGGCTGGAGAGGGCCATAAAGCTTTCACCACGTTCAGCGGTAACTGGCCATGTCACACACTTCACAAACTTGCATTAGGGTTCAGAAAAGCTGAAAAAAGTTTAAAATCACTGGTTACTGTTCTCCCAGGCTGCCATCCAAAAAGAAAAATGTCCGTAGGACACCCATGTTTATCTACAGTACCCGAAGTTAACAACTAAAAAGAAGACAGATGCAAAATAAGAGCTCAGCAAATGTCTTGATTTCTAACACAAGTGTTGCAAAGTCCCTACCATAGTAAATTACTATCTGCCAGCTTCTCGTATGATTTGAAAGGTAAAGTCAGCCTTTTCTAGGTTCTATAAAAAGCTGAACTAATATGTTAATTTCAGATAAACGCAGACAAGGGACTTAATCTCTTAAGTGCTCTCCTGCTGTGCAGTCTTACACATACAAAACCAAAGGTACCACTAACAAGATAAGAAATGACAATCCATTAAAATGTGGGGCTGGTGTCACTTCAGCGTGAAGTGGCTGGCCTGATTCATTGCCCTGTATCACAGATAATGCCTAACAAGGGTTTCTCTCTGCTTTGTTTCAGAACCACGACCGCACGTGCATCGCGTGCAGAATCATCTACCGGTCGGACGAGCACCACCCTCCCATCTTGCCCCCCAAGGCGGATCTGACCATAGGGCTGCACGGGGAGTGGGTGAGCCAGCGCTGCGAGGTGCGACCAGAGGTTCTCTTCCTTACTCGGCACTTCATCTTCCATGACAACAACAACACCTGGGAGGGTCACTACTACCACTACTCTGACCCCATCTGCAAGCACCCCACCTTCACCATCTACGCCAAGGGACGCTACAGCCGGGGAGTCCACTCCTCCAAAGTGATGGGTGGCACAGAGTTTGTGTTTAAAGGTAGAGTGACTTGCTACGCTGGGGGCAGAGGTGGTCAGGTAGTCATGGACCAGAGCAGAGTTTGCTCATAGTGATTTGTTTTCTGATGGTTTCATTATGTGATTTTTAGGAGTTCATAATTTCTTGGGAAGTTTTCAAGCGTTGTGTGAATGCCCAGACAAACTATACAGCTGCTAGGCATTTCACACCACTGAAGCGATACTCATTTGAGGCAGAGGTCTTTAAGTACAGCACAAGAAAATAAGATTTCCCATCACTAAGTCTTGGAGTCCAGTGGCCAGACTTCAAGCATCTAAGAAAAGTGTCTAAGGTTAGATCTATGTCCTAGGACTCCTTCAGCAGAGAGAAAAAAGGACCTTCAGAAGGCATTTCAGATCTGAAGAACTATAAATAATTTTCTGTCAAAGATAGATGTAGCAGCACACATCTTTATATATGCTTCCAAGGGGCCCTCGAGCAAGTAAGAGTGTCCCTAAAGACAGCTCTGATTAATCTCACCAGAACAAAGACTAGACATATCTAACCAAAACCCCTCGAGCACTTTGGAAAGCAGCACTCAGTGGTGATGCCACCCAGGTCCCTGCAGCTGAGAAGCCTTCCAGTGCAAACAGTCCCACGGCTCCCTGGATAGAAAGAGCTCAGAGGCCTGAACCACTCACACAAACAAACATCTCCAAAATACGACATGCCACCATGGCACCAACCCCAGCAAAGCCTCTGGAAGCCTCAAGCACTCTGTAGGTTCTTCTCCTACTTATTTCAGTTACCATGTGAGAAGCATAAAGCTTCTTGCATGAGTCTAATTTAGGAAAGCATCTAACTATAAGAAATAATTTACTAATCTGGGATTTTCATAGGAGGCAGGAGATACCCTTGCCTGTTAAACTTTTGTTCTTTAGAGCTGCATATGTAGTATGTCCTAGCTGAGCTTATGGGGTGAAATCCAGTTTTTGCTTGAATTTATGCTATGCCAACTTACCTTACAGATCAAGGTCACTAATTTGGTTTTGATAAAACTTGTACATTCAATTTTTACAAATTACCTTTTACACCATATAGAGCAAATAATGTGAACTGTAGAGCCATTGAGTCAAACGTCTGTTTATAAAACCCGAGAATAAAACTCCCAACAAATATTGCTATAAAATAACTTGAAAGAGAATTTGGGATTTTGGTGTGTTGGGAGCCATGAGGGCTAGTTACTTGCTTCTGTTTTGGTCAGCACCAATCCATTCAGATCCCCTTTCTTCATATATTCTTGTGTCAAACACACACCAGGAAAAATCTCTATTCAGCTTCTGTAGGCTCATTCAGTTTGGCTTTTCCCAACTTTTTTAACTTGGCTGGAAAATAAAAGTTTATGTGCCTTAAGCTCCTTTGAAATACAGACAGGTTAGAACTGAAGAAGCTGCAGCACTCCTACATTTGATACTGCAAGCTGCAGCCAATGTTTGGATATGAGAAAAAGCATCTCTCTGTAGGTCAGCAATATTTTATAATTCATGCAAAAAAGAAAATATAATATATGATGATAGTGCAGCCGGGATATTTTCCTAGTTCCCTAATTGAAACTAATTATTTCATTAGCTTTACAGGGTAACAGATGTTAAAAAATGACGAAAAATACATGATAAACAGCCCCACTTATGGATTAATACAGATGGTAATAAAACATCAGTAAAGTTTTATTGTTTCCTCTTCTCCCTACCACCTAATATAACCAACCAGGTTTTATCTGTAAAGGATTGTCTGGAACCTATGAAAAGCTCTGCTTAATCTCTGGCTGAGATATGTGGCTGTCAGGTTTTTTTCAACTGAGTTGGAGGAGGGGGGTTGTTCTATTCAAAAAGCAATTTTTGCACAAAGTCATAGACATGAAGTGATGCAAATAGATTTGCTGGCCACACCTATAATAGGAAAAATTCATTTAAGAATGAACAAGGGGAGACAATTTTGATTTAACAGGCCCCAATCTGCATGTTGGCTTTGCTTTTGTTTTTGTCCCTCTGCTAATAGCTCCCCTCTTCCTCTCTCACAGTGAATCACATGAAGGTCACTCCGATGGATATATCCACAGCCTCGCTGCTCAATGTCTTCAACGGGAACGAGTGCGGAGCACAGGGATCCTGGCAAGTTGGGGTACAGCAAGATGTCACCCACACGAACGGCTGCATTGCGCTTGGCATCCGCCTACCTCACACCGAGTACGAAATCTTCAAAATGGAGCAGGATGCCCGAGGCAGGTACTTGCTGTACAACGGGCAGAGGCCGAGCGACGGGTCCAGCCCCGACCGACCGGAGAAGAGAGCCACTTCCTACCAGACGCCTCTAATTCAGTGCGCCTCATCAGTACCCAGGTCTGAAGAGTCACCAGAGGAGAATAAAATAAGGCTGTATAGCAGCAGGGCACCGGAAAAATATCCCAGTGCCCCAGCTCTTGCTTTGTTGTTTATTTGTACTGTGTCATATTGGGACATTCTCAGCTAGAAGTGAAAACAACTTATTTTTCGTGACTACAAAGCCAGGATTCCACCAGACTGGGGGTTGTTTTTCTTCCAAAAGAAAGGGACATTTATTTTCTTGATGCACTTGAATGCCTGAGAACTGTTGTTCTTTTCCTTACTTCCCCCTTCCTCCTCGAATCCCGAACGGCACTCGTTTGATGTTTGTGCTTTGAACTTCATCCAGTCTGATCCCTGGCCTGACATGACTGCACAAAAGTAATTGCACTTTAGGACTGCAGACTTCTGGGGGGAGGGAGGGGGTCTCCTTTTATTTTATTTTTCTTTTAACTGCTGGGATGAACATTTATGATCCTGCTTCAGTTGTCTCTGCCATCCTGCCATTGTGGTGCTCTTCTCCCCAACGCCTGGGTTCTCATCAGAATGTAGCTCTGGGGAAGGGTTCGGTGTTGTGCCAGTACTGTGATAGCAGCTTCCCCCTCTGACTTCACAGCTCTGATGTAGATATGTATATAAGGAGGAAACCCACAAAGATTTATCTTGCCATTATCTCACAGTTCATAATACAAAAAGAATCAGCAGATCAACAGCCCTCTGTTCCAAAAGTGCTAAATGGTTAACACGTCTAATTAAAAAAAGAAAAAAGAATATTCCAAGTAATTTACAATCATTAAGTTGTAAAAGTAATCAGTGGTTTAATATTTTCTCATTCAATTTCGTTAGCTATGTAATTGCTTTGAGGCCTCCCTTTGTAACTAGCAAGCAGTTACAACCGAGCCCACTCAAAGCCAGCCAGCAGCAGCATTTTTTCTATTGGTTGCACACAGTGCAGGTAAGCTACCAGTACAAGGCTGCAGGGACAACTTCTGTTTGCATATTCCTGAGGCCTTACTCTGCATACTCAGTGTGCAGTATTTGTGTCAGCCAGGTGGACAAAGTAAAGAAGCAGGTGGGATTAATATGTTCTGCAAACCTACTTAGCGGTGTATTTTTAGTGATGTGACCTCATGTAGGAACAAGGAAAAGAGTTGCAGCAGCAAGCACTCCGTGGCCCTTAGGAGAGCAAGAAAGCAGCTGGAAACTGACCTGCAGAGGGAGGGACACTGGCCCAGTCTTACCATAGGGAGAGGCAAGAGATGCCCAAATGCAGTCAGGTCCTCCCTTTTCTCCTTGCTGAACTGTCCCAATACATACCACAATTTCATAGAGCTTAAATCAGTATTGTTTGGGGAGGTCTGGGGAAACATTGCTGGGAAATAGGATAGGCACAGGCCTCAGAGAGCATTCTTCAGCAAGAGCCTGCTAAAGAAACTCAAAAGTTTCCCTCAGTGGCAAATATATCCTTTTGTGCACTGACGTGAATCGGAGCAGACTCTGGAGGCTGTAGGGGAGACATTTAAGGCCAGCAAGGAGTTACAAGTTCATAGATGAACCATGCTTCCCTGCTTTAATGGGGAGTGAACCTTGCAGCATTTCAGCTGTGGCTTTTACTAATGTACACATTTGGGTTTGCAGGAGGAGCAGGAACCTGTGTAAGAAACGTAAGGAGTAAGGTCATAGCGTTTCTTTACAGTATCAGCAGCTTCTAGCTGCCCCATTCAGTACTGAGTCAGAAAAAGAGCCTTTAATGAGTTATTTTCAGTATCACAGGAAAAGTATGTTTTGAATGAAGGTCCTTCAACTTTATATAGTGAGTCTTCACACTGTCTGCTATAGCAAAAGAATTCCTTGAAAACATGGATGTGAGTTTCCTCAGATCTGGAACAAAATCAGTTCACCTGCTTTTGAGACAGCAGGAGGAAGGGGAGAAGGAACAGTATCATAGACTTGCTGCCAGGTCAGATCACATCTTCCATATTTTTTCCTCAGGCAAATGCAAAGTCACAGAAAACTCTTTAAGAGTCAGGAATGGAGCTCAGGTTGGTTCAGTGGTCTCCAGAGAAAGTGTTCATCCATCCACCTTCAGATCCTCCTTCAGCCTGCTGGAAGGAGCTGAAAGCCAACTCACCATGGTGAATTGAGCCCTATGAACAGCTTTTCTTGATGGTTTTCTGCTCCACATAGTCAAACCTACTTGAAGAACCAGCTCTGGATCAGTTGCTGGTAAAGGGGGCACCAGGAGGACAGTTTTAACTCAGGGGTCAAGAAGGAGAAACAATGTCTCTGAAAGAGTAGCTAGGAACCAGGATGGAGTTTGGTTTTCTCTAGCTAGACTTGAGTTTTGTAGTCAGCATCCAAATGGGTTACTGAGCTATTACAGTCAAACAAGTCCCTTGACCATTAGTGTAATTTCTAACTTCTGTTTGAGACCTAGCAGCATGAGTGAATTCATGTTAGTTTTTATTAAAGAGGATGGGTATGGTGTGATGTTCCTTAGATCACAAAGGAAAGCTTCTTCTACCAATGTTGACCATTCCCAGGTCAGGCAGTGCTATCTCTGAAAAAATATCAATGGCTAGGAGTTGTCAGACCACATCCATTCCCCATGCAAGTGCCACACACAACTCAATCCCAGCTGAAATCAGCATGTGCTTGTGATGCAGGACTGAAGCAGAGAGCAAAGGAACTGCTCCACAGCATGATCTTCTATATTCATCAGGGAAATCATCTACAGGTTAGCGCTATGTGGCTCCTCTGTAAATTGCCTAATGTCAGAAATATTTCATCAGTTTCAAGAGAAAGCTCTGTCTAGTTCTTACCTCCAAAAGCACATTCATGTCTCAGCTGTTTTGAATCACAAACTTGCCTGGGTTTTCCAAGGTTTATGGTTAGACTACATGCAAATGTGACTCAATGTACAAATTGTATAATAAATTATCTTTTTCCCCTGCCATTTAAAGACACTTAAAAAGGAAGTGTTTAAAAAGGTCTTCATAATGCAGTACAAGAAATCTAATTGGGGACTCCTGTAGTTCATTTGTAGTGTTGACCAGAAACATAATTTTATCATCTGGGTTCTTAGCCTATGCAGCACCAGCTTCCCTCCATGTGCTTATATATTTTTTATTTTTCTGTTAGCCAATACGAGTCAAGTTGGACAAAGCTGTAAGTCTACAGAGTGCATAGTTTATGTGCCAATCCATACTCTCTGTGAGGCTTCTCCTTGTTTACAGGCACAGAATGAGGAGCTAAAGCTTATCCAATCTTTTGGTTTCATCACACACTAAATTAACTGCTCCACAGTACCACATACATTTGTGACACAATATATTACATTCATTTTATTTCTCCAACCTGACCTCATATGCTGGCAGCCATGGCTGCTAAAGAAGTTAAGCTGGAAGTGGTTTAGCAGTGGAAAACTGAGTGATTTGTCCCTTGCTGAAATGCACAAGCTTTAAAAAAATGAAACCATTAATGTTGGTATCTTCAGTAATTGCCAGTGTTACCAAGACAGGTGAAAACTTTTCCCTCAGTAATATCCTACTCAAGAAGCTACCTGACAGAAGAAATGGTAACCTGAAGAAACTCTTAGGCCAATTGGTTTAACAGGTTCTATTTAAGAAATAGGACAAAAGGGATCAGAAAAGCCAAAACAAGTGTTCTTACTCTGTTTCTATACCATTTACATATTGTGCCTGCTGCCCTGGGGTAAAATGTCATTTCTATTAACAGAAGTCTCTATTTTAAGATATAATGTCTATCTTGCTTGAGTTGGAGTGTGCTTGCCTAAAGTGTAGGATTTTAAAAGAAAAAAAATCTTTTTATTTTTGTAAAGCTATAGAAGATATTTTTCTTCTCAACTGTGTTCCAGATTAAACTGCTGGGGAAGTTTAAGCACTTGTTAAACTATTGATTGAAATAAAAAAAAAAAGCCTAACTGAAAACTTTAAGATTTCTTTGCCTCCTCTACATGTTAGTTTCCTGTTCTGTTGACTTTCTACCTGTAAAAACATGATAGGTGCTTCAGAAAGCAACAGCCAAAACCCCATCTGTTGAGTAACTTGTGCACAGAAAAGATAATTTCTTACTATATACACAGGAAAACATTTTTTGTTTCAGACAAAACAGACACGTCTGTCATTAGAAACAGCTCTGATCGATACAGCTGTGATGATTTGGGTTTCACAGCATATCTTCAGGTTCCCTTATGGGGCTGTAAGTGCTCAATGAGTAACAATGGTGTTGGCTTGCAGGGAGAGTACGGTCAGAGCAGCTGTGTCAGCACAAAAGGCATGGTTCAACAGAAACCACGTGTTTTCCATAAATGAGATGTAAATGAACAAACCAGCACTGTTGCTCTGCTATTGCATCTCAGTTGCTTTAAGGGCTATGGCCTGGGGGAAGGAGCACGGAGGGATTTGAAAGGACACTTTTCTTGAAAGAAAAACCTGAAATGAACTGTGAAGGGAAAGCAAGCCACAGGATAACAAAAGCATCTTTCCTGAGTGCTTTGCAGTTTCACACAGAAAGAGGTGAAATGCAATCAGTGAGCCTTCTACTGCCACCATCAAAAGCTTTATAGTTGACCAGTTTCTGAGTTTTTACAAGTGACTCAGGAGATCCCTGAAAGATGAGCTCTGTTTTCAGGAAGCGTGCCCTAAATTACAAGGTACTCTGAGTGCAGTAGCCACAGCCTGTGAAATGGCCTCCCTTGCACACAAAGCGGTGAGTATCGATGAGTCCAGGCAATTTATTGCAAGATTATGCAAGCTTCTACTTGGCATAATTTACTCAGTCCTGACACAACAGGGAAGACCATGTAATAAAAACCAGCACCATTCATTCCGGTTCATTCAAGTTCATTAATTTTCCATAATTTTCTCTCTTCCTACAAGTATTTTTTCCTTCTAGTCTTCTCCCCTAGTGCAATCACTATTGGGGTTTTTTTCACAGCCATTGCTACCAGTAATAAATAATAATAAAGAACTCCACTTTTGAATCAAGCAGAGACGAACACAGCTTTGAGGAATCAAACCTCAACTCTCTTAATAGCCAAGGTAGCTGTTGGCCTGAGCAATTATTTATCAGGCACCTTCTGCCCATCCATCTTCTTCATAAGTCTGTTCCAAGGTGTGGAACCAGTCCATCGGATAGATTCTAGCTATGGTACTACCAAGCCCCAAGGACAGTAATTAATTCCTGCATGTCATCCAATGATGGGAACTGCTCATGATCACCACCTCAAAGCAGGTAGGCACAATTCCCAACATCCTCTCCCATGAGAATCACAGTGGTCTTTGTCTGCTGTCATTTGCAAGACAGTCTGTTGGAAAATGAGAAAGAAAGCTGTGCAGGGTAGTGCTGGTTTTGAATAAATAAAAGAAAAAAGTGGGGAGAAAAAAGTTTACACTTGAAGATGTTGGGCATTGGGTCCCTGCTGAATTCTGCAATTTCACACACAAAATTAAAACCAGGATCAAACCTACATACTTTCATCCAGAGGACAGATGCTTGCTGTACAGACACATGCATCATGAATTTCTTTAAGTAAATGCCCAACTACTGGATCACTTTACTTTTAGCACCAACCAAAAATCCGCAAAAATAATCAAAATTAGGTACGGGCATCAGCTGTATTAACTGCCCTATACGAGACCCCACCTGGAGTGCTGCATCCAGCTCAGCACAAGAAAGACATGGACCTGTAAGAGCAGGTCAAGAAAAGGGGCAGAAAAATGATCAGAGGCTGAAGCACCTCACCTATGAGGAAATGCTGAGAGATTTGGGACTGTTCAGCCTGGCAAAGGCTCCAAGGACACCCTATTGCAGCCTCTCAGCACCTAAAAGGGGCATATAAGGATGATGGGGACAAACTTTTTAGCAAGAACTGTTGTGCTAGGACAAGGAGTAATGGTTTTTAACTGACAGAGAGTCGATTTAGATTGGGTATTGGGAAGAAATTTTTTATTGTCAGGGTGATGAGGCACTGGAACAGGTTGCCAAGAGGAGGTGTGGATGTCACATCCCCGGAAGTGTTCAAGGCCAGGCTGGCTGGGGCTTTGAGCAACCTGGTCAGGCGGAATGTGCCCGTGGCAGAGGGGTAGGAATGAGACGATATTTAAGGTCCTTTCCAACCCCAGCCATTCTAGGATTCTCTCTCTAGGGCATTGCAGGAAGCAACCGCATCTTCCAACAAACACGGTTGATAGTTTCAGCACTACAAACAAGAGACCCCCGAGCCCCCAGACACTCCGCCGCAAAGAGGAGCCCCCAGCGCGGGCTCTCGGGGAGGCGGGAGAAGGAAGGGACGCGGCCCGTGGGTCCGTCCGGGAGCGGCGAGGGCCGGGGACACAGCTCCATCTGGCGGCTGGAAACTGCGGAACGCCGCCTCTCCGTCCAGCGTCCCCCCGACAAAATCCACTGGGGACACGACCACGGGGGAGCCCAAACCCAGCCAGGCCGTCAGGCTCTGTCCCCTTCATCGAGAACAACGAGCAGCAGCAGAGCCCAAGGTAAGGACAGGCTCGTCGTGCTGCCCCTCGGGCTGGTTATAGCGATTAACTCGGAGCGCTTGAGATGGGAGAGCAGGAACTGCGGAGCAAGGTGAGAGGGCGACACGCCCACCTCTCACGAAAGGATCATCGGAGCCTGCGTAAATGTACAAGACAGACATGGAGCTCCTGGAGTGGGTCCAGTGGAGGGCTACAAAAGGACTGGATCAAAGGACTGGAGCATCTCTCTTAGGAGGAAAGACTGAAGGTGCTGGGACTGTTCAACCTCAATAAGAGGTGACAGTAGGACACCTCATGTGTCTAAAGAGGGAGTGCCAAGAGGATGGAGACAGGCTCTTCTCAGGGGTTCCAAGCAGTAGGACAAGAGGTAACGGGCAGAAACTGATGTATAGGAAGTTCCACCTGCACATGAGGAAGAACTTCTTTACTGTGTGAGTGACTGTGCACTGGAAGAGATTGGCCAGAGAGGTTATGGAGTCTCCCTCACTGGAGATATTCAAGAAATGTCTGGACACAATCCTGTGCCATGTGCTCTGGGATGATCCTGCTTGAGCAGGATTGGACCACTGTGGTCCCTTTCAACCTGACCCATTGTGTGATTCTGTAATTGGGCAAATTAACAGAAAATGTGTATGAGTAATGAAGCCAGTTTCTCTACGGAGGCCATGGGTTTAGCATACAGAAAATAAAACATTCATCTGTTGAAGATACTTTACAAATCTTCCCTGAGGGTGAGACTGTCACTACAGTTTCATTCCACGTGATGCTCTCTCCTTACCAGAGGGGCGCACCATCCACGGTAGTAGTAGTGATGAAAGAAATCACAGGAATTACACTCAGAAAAAAAGTGAAGTTACCCTTGCAAGAGCTAGGAAATGCCAAAATGAAGTTCTGCCCCCCAGCCTTAACTGAAGCCCCTCCTGCATGCCCAGCACCATCCAATCAGGGCAAAACTTGAACTTACACAGTATGCACTAAAGGAATCCCTTCTCTGCACTCTGTAAAGGATACAGGGGACATGGTTGCATGGTCTAAGTTGCAGCAATCATTTCTGCCTTTTCCATAGAAGGAGAATACTGTTACTAAACTGTAAACCTTGCATTTCCCATTGATCCATATTCTGCATCTGTTCAAAAATGTATATATAGGTGATGGCAACTGAAAATCGTAATGATATATACACATAGCTCATATGAAAGTACTTTATGCAGGGAATTACCAAAAATTTTAATAAGGAGTATCACACACTCACTAAAACTAAGAGCAACATCAACTCTCAAATACACTAAATATGCACTGAATTTTGACAGACACACTATAATTTTAGAATATATTTAAAATATATTTAAAATTTTTACATTATTATTGTTTCACCCAGTTATATGCTTTAGTTTCCATGATTCTAACCAGAACTAAGAGATATCTATGCATATTTAGTGACATGGAACGGAGCATACAGAACTTAGAGACTGGGAAGAATCTCTTATAAAAGTAGCTTAATTTCTAAAAATCTAAATTCAAATTTCTTAAATCCAAAATTGCTTTTGCACTGACAGCACAGATCTTTAGACTTCACAAAAGCAGCAGCAATTGCTTCTGAATGTTGGAAGTTCACCTTGTGTCAGCATCCTCCTGCCTAAGCCTCCTGTTTCTCTTTGAAGGTCTCAAATTAACACTTGCAGAAGCTGCGTGCATTTCAGATGGGTTTTGGATAGGATGGCTCCCATTTGGCAAGAAGGAAGGAAGCGTTTCTGTACTCAGTCACCTTCAAAATTAGCAATTTTAAATAAATTGAAAAGGATTTGAAAAATCAAAAATTGAAGGAATAAAACAGATAAGAGGCAACTGAAGTGATTACAAACATATCACACTGTGTGAAGTACCACAGTAACCCAGCCTGCTGTAACCACCACCAGCTCACATACTGGCACACAGGCACCCAAGAAAGATTTGTGTTCAGATGTAAATATGGACATACACAGACACACACAATGGTTTTGCATAACCCCACCATCACACCTGCCCACAGGGCAGTCAATGTTTGTGTGGCTCACCCAATGAGCTGCGCCATGTGCCAGAGGGCTCTGGTCATGTGCTGCTCTTCTCTGCTGCTCCCTCAGAGCAGAGCCAAGGAAAGCAGGAGGTCCCTTCCATACACTGCTGGTTACCTTGCTGAAAACGTTCATGTTTACTTTTGATTGGCTGCTTCATTTCTAAACCTCTAGTTCCACAAATACAATTTCTACACACTGTTAGAAGTGGACTTAGAAATCCACAGTTCACCTTTTAAACAACAAAAAAAGAAATAAAAGCACTGGTCTACAAGAAGTTTTGAGCTCAGTTATGGTTACTCTGAACATCAAACTTGTCCCATCTGTTTGCAGTCATTGAATTAGTGTTTCTGAAGCACCTGAACAGAGCAGATCAGAGCAGTGAGG